CCTCAGGGGTGAGAGCAAATGTCTTATTGAGGGGTTCCTCTTCATGCTGAGGAGGGTGTAGGTCACCTGAAAACTTAAACTCTAAAATACTTTTTGAAGAACAAAGGACAAATAGTCAGAAATATATATACAAAAACGGAGCCCCTGATGCACCCAGTCCACACAAGATCTGGAATTAGATAAAGGAAAGATGGCTCTGGTGGTTTATTTAAGGGGGTGCATCAAAGGCAGGGGTAATGTCTCAAGGGGGAGCCTTGCTTCCTGTTGTCTTGCAGCTAGCAGGTTGTCTGGCACCTTGGCAGGTCACATCCCTCTCAAGTGCTGTGTGGGCAATGGCAAAATGTGAAAGAAACTCATAATATCTCTGGGCAATTGACATGAGAAAATGTCCACTGGTTATTCCCAGATACCAGATGTTCCTATCCACCAGGCTTCCATGCACAGTGACCCACACAGCCCAAGAACAGCTCGTGACAATGGTGCATCTTGTATATTACATCAAGCTAGTAGATGTTTAGGAAGAGCATATGGTGTGTGGACAGGGGGTGCCCTGGTCAAAGATCTGTGCATGGACCCCTGGCCAGCTGCTTGGCTGAGGGCTTGGAGGAGAAAACAGGAAATCAGACACAGTGATCCTGAGAGATGCAACCAATGGGCTCGTGGAGGGGGTTCTGCATGTGCAGACTTAATGGATTCTGTGGAATGGCAGAGAAGGTGCTACAGAAGAGAGATAAGTGACCATGTGTGCTAGAAGCCTCTCTCCCCTCTTGGAAGATTGCCTGTTCTCTGTGTCCCCCTCACTATCATATTTGCACAATAGATCCTTGATCAAGTGGAGGCAGGGAAGGGGGTCATGACATGTGCCAAGTCTGTCCACTTCACCTCTACTGTGCTGTTGGTACTAAAACCACATCAGGGAATCTGATTTCTCTGCAACAGACCCAAATATCACCAGCCACCTGTGGGTAGCTGGAGTTTAATTAGTGTCCCCTGGAGGGCTGTGGTGCCTTCCTCCTGGAACACACCTGTGCTGTGGTCCTGTGAGACTTCCCTGCCCACTCTGAGGAGCATCAGTGTCCAGGCACTCAGAGAGCGTGTGGTTTACTGAGATGGGAATCTTCACACCTGGACCTACTGTGTGCTGCAGGACCATGAACACTAAGTGCATAATGGTGACTTCCACTGGTCCTCCTAACACAGCATCAACCACAACCCACTTGGGGAGGACCTACTGCAGACTAGAGGAGTCTCCTTTAAGATTTGCTTCACCTTCATTTCATAATCCTGAGGGCAGAAAGACATGTATTAGAGATCTAAGGGGCAAGTGATTTCTAGTCTTGTGATTGTAAACTCTGCTGGGAACACATCCTTATCTCAGCAGTAAAATTTCTCCTGGGAACATGCAGAATACCTTAAAGTAAATTCTAATTTTTATTAACTCAAGGTCCTTCAGACTGGAGACAAAGAAACATCTAAGATACTTATTGTGCTGGTTGTACAATTCAACTCTAATCATAGGTTTCTGCTTCTCACTTGGTGGTTGAGACGAGTATGTAGGAGGATGTCCTCAAATGAAGGTGATGTAACATCAGGAACTAGCAGAAGAAAGCAGAGCAGGGCATCTATTTTAAGCCCTCACCTGCTCACACAGGTCTCCACAGAGGCTGTAGCTGTGCTGTGGATGCCTGGGGTGGAGGGGGAGGAGCAGGTGCAGTGAGGACTTCTTGGTTTTCTCCCATAGCAGGCTTCCTTCAGAATAATGGGCCATGTGTGCTATTTGTTTCCAGACCTGGAGCCCTGAGTGAGCCTCTGTTTAAGACAAAATTACTGCAATTGAGGATGAAGAGAATTATTTTAAAGTGACTGTTTGTGTACTTCTGTAGACTGTGTTACAGTTTGATTTAAGGTTCCCCCTAAACCTTCTGAGTTAATGTATGGATATTCAGAGGGGAGATGATTGGTCTAAAAGACCTCAGCCTAGTCAGTCCCTCAAGTGGGAGTGAGCTAACTGGGTGGGGACTGTAGACAGGTGAGTGTG